AAACTCTCTTCCAGAATGGCTGTCACTGCATTTCTACTAGCCGTATTTGTGGGTTCTAGCCGATTTGCATTATTTATTTACTTATTTATTTTTTGAGGCAGAGTCTCACTATGTTGCCCTCAGTAGAGTGCCCTGGGATCACAGCATGCAGAAACCTCAAATTCTTGGTCTTAAGTGATTCTCTTGCCTCCACCTCCCAAGTAGCTGGGAGTACAGGCACCTGTCACATCACCTGGCTATTTTCTTGGTGCAGTTGTCATTGTTGGTTTACCTGGCCTGGGCCAGGCTCAAACCCACCAGCCTACGTGCATGTGGCAGGCTCTGTAACCACCGTGCTTCAGGTGCTAAGCCTGATTTGCATTTTTGTCAACATTTGGTATGGTCATTTATTAAAATTTTAGCCATTTATTATATGTGTGGTCTCCTTTAATATTTTTGACTTCTTAATTCTTATTTTCAGTAATATTTGGACCAATATAGGAAGTTTATGATCTTTCTTTGCCTCTTTCTTCCTTTCCTTTTCCTCTTTCCATTTCCTCCCTTTCCTTTTCTTTCCCTTTCCTCTTTCCTCTTTTTATTTTCCTTTCTTTTCTTATTTTAGTTTTGGAGACAGAGTCTCACTTTTTCATCCCAGGTAGAGTGCCAGGGCATCATAGCTCACAGCTATCTCAGTCTCTTGGACTCAAGCAATCTTCCTGCCTGAGTCTCCTGAGTTGCTGGGACTACAGGTGCCTGCCACACCTCCTGGCTAGTTTTTCTATTTTTAGTAGAGACAAGGTCTGTCTTTGCTCAGGCTGATCTTGAACTCTTGAGCTCAAGCAAGGCACTGGCCTCAGCCTCCCAGATGCTAGGATTATAGGCATGAGCCACTGTGCCTGGCCGTGATGGATGTTTCTTAAAAAAAAATGTATATATATATATTTTTTAGCTGATCATCTTCAGTCATTATTTCACTCTGAAAACTATACCTCTTAAAGGATGGTTATACTGTGTACTTATCTTTCTTATTATTAAAATTGCTTTTTGTATAAGGGATTATCATTAGGAAATTATTGTAATGCTTAGTTGCTATTTTTTAAATGTACCTTTTTTAAAAGTTAGGTAGATAAAACGTTTAAAAAGTGTTCTATAATTTAAAAGATTCTTGAAAAATTTATTATAAAGCATGTCTTCA